AGCTGGGGCAGTGTGGGGCCATGGGGGCAGCACAGAGAAGCTGGTCCAGCATGTGGCTGCCTGGCTATGGTGAGACCAGTGTAGCGCAGGGGCCAGCCCAACTCCACACTGCACAAGGGGAAGGTGCTGGCCGGGCAGCCGGCAGTGACTGAAGGCTTGGCCAGATTTCGATGGTCTTGGCTCAGACCTCATGTTTCATTTGGAAACGGAGCGTCTGGGCTGAGCGCAGGTAACTCCCGCGTGGCCTCGGCACAAAGCAAACAGCTCACACATCTGCTGCTGCTTCCTCTGAGCCGGGAAACGTGAGAGGATGGGAAAGGAGGCTGGCCAGGCTGCCGGCTCGGCACTGGGCCGCAGCAGGAGTGAGCCAGGTCGGGGAGCCGGGTCGAGCTGAGGCAGGGAGCCCAAGTCTCAGAGCACAGCTGCCCAGTGTGGCCACCCCTCAGCCAAGGCACCCCTGTTGCCCTGAACAGGAAGGCTTCAGAGGTGCTTCAGGGGCCACAGTGGCCAGCACCATGTCCCATGGGGTCACCAATGTCAGGTGCGCTGCCCCACAGCCCCTGTGTGCAATCGCTCCTGCTTGACTCCATCTGTCTGCGGCTTCTGGGCATCAGGGCTTATGCTGCCTTGGGAGGTTAAAGGGTCCCTGTCAAGGTCTGGATTTGGTCCAGACATGCATAATGGTCATGATAGCTTAGGCCATGGGCAGGCCCTGCCAGCATGATGTGCAGGACACAGGACAGTCTCCAAGGTCAGCACAGAATTGAATGGGTTCAATTCTCCATCAGACTGCTATGTTTCTAAGCAAAAAACCCTGGGAGGACCAGGTCTATTTTCACATGGTGATGCCTGCTCTCTGTGGGCAGGACAGAGCGATGGGGAAGTGGGGAGTCCATGTGACCAGAAGAGACTTGAAGAACAGCTGCAGGTCTCCTGCTCCCTTGCACAGCCAGGTTGGTCTTTGTGTTTCATGTACAGAGACAAGCAGTGCAAGTTGCTGGCCTGAGCTCCTGAGAAAGAAAAAGGATCCCATAACATCTTCTTTATTTATTATTCGTATTTATCCAGGTCCCACAGTAGCAGACTCTGCACAAGCACTAAGCAAAGGAAATAGCAAACTTATAGTTAAAGTCTGAGATGAGAGAGAAACACCAGTGGAGGAGTAGTCCAGGGAATCACTGAACTTGACACCAGCAGAAAATAGAGCAAGGGGATAGTCACTGACTGGTTGTCTCTCTCTGTGGACATGAGTTGATAATAAGCTTTAGTGCCCATCAGACTACATTCAAATGCTGTGGATACATGATGTGAAGCACTGTTCTGGTATAAATTCACCCTGCTGGCTTAAATTTGTTTTAAACATTTGACTTTGTACCAGTAAGCTGCTTGCATGGTCAGATACTGTCTTTCTGGGCCTTTCTAACTTTTCATGCTAAATCAAGTATTGTCTGTCCTCTGGCAGCCAGCATAAAGCACAGAGAGCTGTGTAAACCCCATCTTGTGAGCACAGGCTGATTTGACAGAAATGTGAATGAGATGAGATGGTGGATTATTGATTCTTGCATAGATTCAATATTAATGATTTTGGAGCCAGGATTTACATATTTCCTTGGCATCCATATACAGAGTTGTTGGGGAACATCAGAAATCAAAAGCTGACCAGCAACACACCTAATGTATAGTCTTAGCTTGCAGTTTTGAGGACAAGTCTGATGAGTTTTGAAGTTGGAGTACTGATTTGTGATCCTGTGGGACTGGCTATGCTGCATGCACAGCACTGGGACAGCCTCTTGGGCTGTGCCCCAGATAGGAAGACCTGCGTGAAGTGCTGTAGGCTAGACCAGGCCACATATACTGTGTTAATGAGAGTCTTGACGGATAATCCTGATGCATCGGTTACGCTACTGAAGGGGGCAGCTGTGAGAGCACACGGGAAGTAGCCATGCATGGGGACTGGAACAGCAAAAGGACTAATGCTCACCGACTTTGCTGCCAAAGAGAGTGGTGGGAGGTGGGGAGGGCATTACTACATGCATTCATTTTCTTGGGACAAGGGGTTTTAGCATTAACCTATTTTCAGACCTTTGCACAACATAAAACAGGCCTCCCCCTCCTCAGAAACAAGAAAGCAATCTTCCTGAGGCAAGATGGGGAGATGCCAGTGAGCTTGCTGGGGAGCAGTGTGAGGGGACAGAGTGCATCATGCTTCTGGGAGAGCGGGCTGCGATGTGGGAGAGGCTGGGGGTACGCAAGGAGTGGGGACATGGGGGAGATGCTGGTACATGGGGAGGTTGTGGGGGAGGTGAGTACTGTTGTTACCGCCAGAAGAGCTGCATTTGTTCCAAATTCCTGTGAAAGTTATTTCCTTGCGCTGCCAGCAGCCTCCTCCTGGGCTTGGCACAGCAGCCAGCGCCATGATTAATTCAAGTAGCTTTGCCCCTGGAGCTGCAGCCGCTTTTCCACTGCAGCCGAGAGGCCCCAGCCCCTCGCGCTCCTCTCCCCCCATGCTCTGCTCCTCCCCCAGTCCCCTCACACAGCTCCCTCCTTTCTCTACACCAATCCCCAGCCCCCTCACAGCTGCCCCTCATCCCTCACCTCTGCTTCAGCCCCAGGCCCCTTATAACTCCTCTTCCTCCCACAGTCCTTGCTCACACCCTCCCTCTTCCATGTCTGCACACAGACCCACACCTGTACATGCTGCCCTCCAAAGCGCCAGTCCCTGCACCTCCCCTCCCAGAGCCCCATCCCACCAGTATGCCCCCCCACCCAGTCCCTCTTGTTCACTCCACACCCCCTTGGTTACTGCCAGCTGCTGTTGCCTGCTCCCCCCAAGGACCCTCACTGTTTTGCCCCCAGGGCAGCTCTCACTGGCAGTGCTCTCCCTCACCTGCATGGCCCTTGGGACACGCCAGGCTCTTACTGCTCCCCATCCCTGCCTTGTTTCCCAGGGTCACCCTGCTTGACATGCTTGATCTCGTGCTACCCTGAGCCCCAGTCTCACTTGTAGAGAGAGTCCCATCTCACTGTGTAGACCTGCTCTGTGAGCATGCCTTGCCTGAGGTCTGCACAGCTGAAACCCAGCCCAACACCCTGGTTTGGGGTCCTTCTTGGCATCAGTGCCACCAGGAGGCTGTGGCCAGACCCTGTCATTTTCTACCCTGCACTGTTGCTGCCCCACTCAAGCCCCACACCTTGAGCACTCTTTCTCTGCATAGGCCCAGCTTCCCTGCCCTGCTGAGCTTCCAAACTCCTGCATGCTCTGCTGGGGCTCCCAGTGCCCTGTAGCTCCTTGCTGCTCCACCAGAGAGGACACCTGGATGCCTGTGTATGAGCCTTGCTCCTTGTCTTTCTGTGCCTTACTCTGTCCCTGCACTCAGGCAGCAGGACTCCCAGAAAGGTAGTGTTCACCCCCAGGCTCCTGCAGGCTGTTGCCCTGCCTCACCCTCCACAGTCCTACTTCCCTGCCAATGTCTGTGACTTAAACTGCTTCCCTCCTCCTCAAAACTGAAGGCTTTACCCCATTCCAGAGCAGTGCTGGAGGCCATAGGCTGCTCCTGTTTTCCACACCTTGCTGTGTATGGCTGTGGCCGCCCTGCGCCTGTCCGTGCCTAAGGCAGTGGCTGTGGGGCCGCCAGCCAGAGTCCTTGCCTGTGGCCTGTAGCTGCTGGGCTGTGGGGAGCCAGCGGTGCAAGTGGGCAGTGCCCACAGCTGTGCAGAGGGCTCCCCCCAAGACGTGGCACTCCCTGCAGCCTCAGGGTCTGACCCTCGCCTCAGCCACGTGTGCTGGACAATCGCGGGGGCCGAACCCTGACCCTGCTTACTCCCCTGAGGCCTGAGCGTGCTGGAGGCTGAGGCGCAGCCCAGGAGCCAGAGACGGCTCCTGAAATAGCCGCCGTGGCCGCTCCCTGGCTGCTTTTAGCTGGTCAGCAGCTGTGCCAGGGCTGGGGAGGGCAGGATGCCTGGCACACACTCAGGCAAAGGGAGCCGTGCGTGGGATCATTGACCACACTGGCGCCAGCCTCCCCTCCTCTCCCACCAAGAGCCGTCACTCTGAGGGGCGGGAGCCCAGAGCCAGATGTTTGCCAAAGCCACAGAGTAACATGTGCGTAGCAGAGATGCAGCCAGGGCAGGGCTCCAGATGAGCTCCCTGCCTGCTGACTGCGCTCGCTGGAGATGGGTAGGACAGCCAGAGAATGGAGGCCTGAGCTGCTGAGAAGCACTCCATCACTTTCCAGTCTTTGGACTGCGTAGGGGGGTACATGGGTCAGCAGTAAGGCTGAGAGGGTAAGGGATGGCTGCGTTTGAAGGGCTCTGGTGTTGCTCTCTAGATGGGTCTGTGGGAAGCAAAAGCCTTGACTCCTATAGGTGATGCAGCTAGGACCCCTCAGTGCGGGGTTTCTGCTTCTCCATCCATCCCAGACTCTGGGGAACATAAATG